GGTGCTGTTCACATAAGAGGGCGGTGTGGGTTTCAATAAAAGTACAACATAGTGCTGTCTGCGGACACTCCGACCTCAAGATGCCTTTGGTTGGCTTGCGGTGACTAGAATTGCGCACATATGAACCCCATCATCAAGAAAACACTGACATACAACTGACTCCTCATAGCCCTACTTCTGTCACTGAAATAGAACAAGTTTGTTGACTTCATCCCTGTATGCAAAAGATGGCTTCCAAAGCTCTACCTGCACACAAACATGAAAATGCAAAACATTTACCACACTAATGGACAGAGACTGTTAGTTTATCTTAGATGGGTGGTCTCGCCCTCTCAAACTAAAGGGCAATTTCAGATGAGTTCCCAGCAGCCAACGCCCATATACTGTTCCCGACAAGTCTCATTCTATACAGAGAGATCGAAAAAAACTGCCAGCTCAGACCACCTCTGTGTGCATATATTCATATACCAGCTCCTGTGGGGCAGGATATATTAGTCGCACATGCGGCGTTTGTTCAAAAGAGGGCGAGGGCACATTCCAGCATGGTTTGGAAAGGGACAACTAAAGGCTATGAATAGTTCCATTCTAGCTCACCTGATAGGCTCAGACAATAACGCGGATGCCATAGAGGCCTACCGAGTGATCTACAAGGCACCCTCAAGCTATTCAAAATGTATTTGACAGCAAGTGGGGCCTACGACAGAAGCGGCCGCCCTCAGGCTATGCCAACCGGTCCTGTGTGCCCAAAAAAACTTCGTCGCGAGGCCGCAGTTACCATGGGCAAACGCCGCTAATCTAACGGCCCGCAGCTTATCACCTAGCTCGACTACCGATCCCCCTAACGCTGATCAGATTTTGGCTCAGATTTTCCCCTTCCTTCCCCCTCTCCTGACAACCGTACTCTTTTTATACAAATGCGCACAATTCAGTTACTTAATTACTAAATAAATGTAAAGGCCTGACGAGAATTTATCGAAAACAAACGTATGTTCATCAATTTATCTTCTGAACTTTTCAATATGAATTTTCGCAAAAATGAAGAATATTTAACACCGGGAGGTAGACAGCATATGAATGTACAATCGGAACTCGAATCAGGATTCAGTAAGATATTCACTTACACGCCCGCATGTGTACAAGCGCATTTACAGGACACTGTCTACCCCCGTTGCTTACGCAGAACAAAT